GGGCTCTGGGCGCGGCGACTGCGGGCCACAGTCAGCGGCATCAATGACGGCGGCGGAACGGCGTTTGATGACACGTGTTGTCGAGTGGAACGAACACAGTGCGCAAAATATTACGTGGCAAGCATCATGTTGACAAAATCCACCGCCGAAAGTACCGACCTCGATTTAATAGGCTATTTTAGCGAATTGAATCCAGGGCCGAAAGCAAGATGTCAAATGGAATCAAAAGTAGCAGGCAGCAGTTGAAGGCGAGCTGACGTATAAGAAATACCTTCTTACCTATCCTTGGTTTAGTTATTTTCTCTGAAACCCTTGAAACCACCTGCACTTCTCACACCAGCACCACGACTTGCAATCAACTGCTGTTTCCGTTTTTTGTGATCCCATTTTACTTCTTACTTCCGGTCCCAAATCGCCGGGGACCGTTCCTCATATGACTCTTTATTTTCCCGACTTCCGTTTTTCTTCCCCTTCCGTTTGATCATAGGCACCTTTAGAGTACCGTTCCGTGATGATTGTAAATACTTTAATGGTCGGCTCTGCAGGCAGGAGGAAGGACCTGCTAGCTGGGTCCTATGCCTCCTAGTACTTCAAAACTCTCCTCCTGCGCCTCCTCCCTCTCCGTCAGCAGGGGAGGGACGAGAGGGCCGTGCGACCGAGCCAGCCTCCTGTCCCGTGTGGGCGCGGGGTCGCGGCGGTCGGTCGCAAGTTTGTCGGCGGTGCCGGCGGGCTGGTCCGGGCCGTGCCGGGCCGCTGTCATTCAGGGGTCGGTCTACATAATTAATGGAGCGGGAGCGCGGACAGGCCGCAGCATATTGATCATCCGGGGATGTTTTTGCTCGCTCGGCCCTGCTGTGATTGTTGTTGTGTTTTGCCGTGTATTGTTGTGTGTATGTGTGTCGCAGCCAGCCGTAGGCAGTGTATTTGATGCCATCCGTTGCTGCTGCCGCTGCCGCCCCCAAGCGAAAAGTTTCGGAACACATCATAGGGTAGAAGAAGGAAGGAGAGTAGTACGCGTGGGCCCCCATAACGTTGGAATTTGATCACATTGTTCACATTTTCCGGGCGAGCACGGGCGGAGGGAGACTAACAATCTCCACAGTCTGAGGATGTGCAAGGTGTTTATTCGATGAATCGATAATGAGCAGGGGCGAGAAACTGCAACGAAGTGACAAAGTGGAGCCGGAACCAGCACACATAACCTAAATCGTGCTTGCTGGCAATAGCCGCCGCTGTAAATCGCAATTTATTTCAGTGCTGTAGTTTTTTGGTCCAAGAATGTTTTATGCAAGTAAACGCGAAAACAATTAATGCACTTCCCAAGTGTTTTTCGGCTGCGCTTTGTCCCTTTCCATCGACCCCCTGTCCGCGGTGACCCTGTTGAGCCGTGTCGGGACCAGCCGGTTCACCACTAATGCAAGTGGGTTGGCAGGCCCGGGCCAGCGATGGGTACGGCGCCGATAGCAGAGCGACCATTCGTTCAAACACATGGCCCGGCCACGCCGCCGCCGCAGCCGCAGCAACCCCGACGGACTTTACAACCGACGCGCCCCATCGCGATTGCAAAAGCAATCTGTTCTGAAGCCTCGGGCGGCCACACATTTTAATACGACCAACTATAAGGGCAGATTTCCTCTGCCCGGTTCGCTGGTTTGTGCTTCGAGGTAGGTTTTTTTATTTTACGCCGACTCGGCTGGACGGTACTGGTCCTTGTCCGTGGATGCGCGCTGTGCGTTTGGCGTGCGCTCCGTGTGTTATCTGCCCCTCCATAGCCCGCCGGCCGCGCACTGGCGCACCGCGGACTGCAAGCGCAACGACTGCCGCCTGTCGCTATTCACTCACGCACAATATACACACACACAGAGGCAGGCCCGCGTTGCCAAAATTCCCGTACATTTTTGACGTACGCGAAACGCGCGCATGTGTATTGAGAGCGAGTGATGTGGGCTGCGCATTGCGCAGTAGGGGGAGTGGAAAGGGGGGGGGGGCAGACAACCACATTATTATAGTGGCTCAGTTCGGTTCACGGGCCTCTTCCATTCAACAAGTCCCTCTGCGCAAACACACGCACACACAAACACACACACACATATGCACGCACGCACACACACCCACACACGCGCACGCGCGCACGCCATGTCTGCACATACACCCAGGAGCCCATGTACGGGGTGACCCTGCGCGTCCTGCGCGTGTCTGTGCGGTTTGCTTATTGTTCGCTCTGGCTTGTGTGTGAACCGATGTTGTTTCGACAAGCGTCGTGAGTGAAAGAGGCGGTCATTCGCAAAGACATTGCACAAACATCGGGAGTTTGGTGAGTTTGAAAAATGATTTAAATCCTTCAGAAACGCGCTGTTAGAGGGGGGGAGAGGCAGAGGGACCGAAAAGACAAATAATAACCGACATTCGCTGGAAATCGTGCGCCCTTCGTCTTGGCGTTGGAGTGTGTCAGAGTCCCTCCCGGCGGCGCCCACATGGCGCTGGCGCCACTCTGCGTATTTATCTGGCGCGAGGGTCGAGAGGGCGGCGCAATGCTCGCACTTTTCCACCGTTTTGATTTTCTTTTCGTTTTACAATTTTAAAGTTTTCCGTCCGAAGTAAATTTACTCTAAAGTGCCTTTTCTTGAGCCTTTCCTTTCATAAGTTTGAGAAAAGTGGAGGAAGAAGGCGGTTTTTGTGCCATTCTGTTTTCGTTCTTAGATTACCCTGCGTTTGAACTTAGAGGTGGCGCCTTCGACGGGCGTGCAGCGCAGGCAGGGCGAGGGGGGTGTTGCTTTCTCTCTTTTATTCTTCTTGTTTGTTGGTATAAGTGTAAGTGTGTTTATTGAAAGTGTTATTGTTTTCTTGTGTACCTCCTCGCTTTTTTTTTGTGACTTTTTCTTCCTCCCTATTGTTTTTCTTACAGTGT